AAATTGACCACCAATCAGAGGGGATTTTGCTTTTTGATGAAATTACAGCACATGAAAATAAAACTTTGAAATAAAATAGTTGACAGAAAGTAATCATTTTTAATAGTTTCTATTATCGCACCCTTTCTACGATCCCTCAGGGGGTCCTTTCATAGGAAACTACATTTCTGAACGAGTTTCGCGCCGTCAGCTGAAAATCTTTCGAAACGTTCTGAGGCCCAAATCAAATTGACTAAGAAGAGACCGAAGTACCAAGAATTGAATGAGTTTTTCCTAAAACTAAGAAATATTCTGATATTCTCATTAGACCTTTTTCTGTGCATCGCCATGCACTGATGCCGTCAAAATTGAATACAACTCAGCTCGTAGAACTAAATCAGCGATACTAGCAATCACTATTGTTAGGCGACCCACCGAGATTGATGTTGAAAGTTTTTTCCTCCCTGAGCCTTTTTACTCCCAAGATCTCATTCGTAATTCTCCTTACTGTCTACCATACAGTTCTTGTGATGTTAGTTTGGAGAATTTGGTATTGGATCAACTTATAATCCCCAAATTGATTCTTTTCTTTTTTCTCATCACTTATCTGCTTGATATTGTATTGATATTGTAGGGAGAAATTCTGTCTTGGTCACTCATGAAAGTTAAAGGGTTAAAGATAAGACTATTCCCAGCTGAGCCGCGATCATTCCAGTTCCTGGCAGAATGTCGTTTCTATTAACTTTCCCGTTACTAATTAGTTTTTTCAGCAAATAAGAAATCAGGAAATTCTGTTTTTTCCTGAAAGCGCTAAATCAATGACGCTGGCGCAGTTTAGGAAATTAGCTTGCAAACTATCAGGGGAAGGGCAGCCACACTTTTACACTTACCAGAGAGGAAGAATTTCCGTCATTCGTCGTGTATTGTACAAGAATTCACCTTAGTGTTTATCTAAAAATTTTTCACAACTACGAGGACGAAATTTGATAATAAGCATTTTCTTAAAAGCTAGGTTTTTTGTTTGTCTCACGATGTAGTCACGTGTGATGTAGATCGCGATTTACATCACACGTGACTACATCGTGAGACAGACGAAAAACTTACCTTTTATTGTTATTCACCACGATGAATAACCACAACCTTTTCTACGAAAGAATTTTCTTTTGTTTAAACAGGCAGTTATTCGTATTTCCTAAAGTTCCTGTGTTTCTCAAAGGGTTTTCCCCTCTGAGCTCGTACGGAAGATTAAATTTAGAATTCCCTCTTCCCCTGTAAGCCACCGTGCTAGTATTGTTGAGATGGTTTGAATCGCTAATAATTCACGGTGAAAAGCACTTGAAATTTTTGAATATACCAAACATGAAATATTACCCAATATATTGCTGCAGATCATGAAAATTGATGAAAAGGGCATTTAATTTTTCCAATTAAAACAGCAGCACTCTACTTGAAAGAGTTCCAATATTATGTGCGGAAAAGGGCTTTTCAGCGTTGATCTAGATTTGCTTCAGCTTGAAACTCGATCTACATCTTAATCTCTGAATTTTAATAAAAAGCTTAAAAGCTCTGCACGCTATCGGAAACTCGCATAAATCAAGAGCTCGAGTGCAGTGCAGGTTCCTTGCACAAGTTGTACAGCTTCGATCGCCAAACGTCATCAGTCTATAGAGACGCCGCCTAGTAAATTGAAAATTCCAGAATGAAATCTGGCATCCTGCACATAATTTTCATCTTAGCTGCCATGTCATCCATGACTTTCCGAACAGCAAGGTAAAACAATGCGCTTATGTTATACTGTTAATTAATTCGGCCTTCGTATTATTTGTAACGAAATCGCTTTACTGACGGAGGAACGATATTAAGGAAGTCAAGGGATCACTCAAATTTGTCCTCACAAAACGTTTGGCTTCGCTGACTAAACTTGTAGCATCACCAACAATTTAACTGGGAGGCATATAGGCTCTGTAGAAGCCTCAATTGTTTTTTAGGAGCTAATTTTTTTTTCCAATTGCCTATGTTACGCTTGTGATAATCAATTTTCCTCAACATGAGGATAATACTTCGTCACGTAAAGAGATTGTTTTTTCCTTCTTTATTTCTTAGCGGGCAGGACCTACCAAGGTTCAAAGTGCTTGAGATGGACACAAATGGAACACTTTATCTCCACAAAACTTCAATTCTGTGCAAGAGAGAGATTGCCGAACGTCTTACTGAAGGGAAATATCAACTTGCTGAGCCGAACAATTTAGGTAACAAATTACAAACCTTGTTTTGATTTGAGTTTCAAATTTAGGAGCTGAGTAATGAGGTAATTATATATCATGTTGAGTTATCGATTAAATAAAAAAATAATATAATTAATCAAATACAGTTTTTCCCTTTTAGTTCACTAATTCTTTTGAGTCAATCAATTCGAAGCTTCAACATTACCCCCCTACCCGGGCAACTCCTGGGAATTTGAACGTTTGAGGATTGGTTTGTACAAATTATCTCCCCACGGGGCAAATATTGAGTTCAACTGTCCTACTTAAGTGCCGGATGTGATGGTCAGTTTTTTCAGTTGTTAAGGACAAAATCAGCGACGGTATGCATGCTTTAAAACTTAAACCTTGTGGAACCTTATTTCCGAGCCAATTGCTCACGAAGGTGAAGCTCTCTATCACTAACCAACACCATATTTAAAGATAAAACACTTGTATGTGGGTCTCAAAGGGGTGATGGCTTTTACGGCTGACGATTAAAATGTTCGCCAATTTACGGCTAACGGTGAACGTCTTTCCATTGTTTTCACCAGAAATTTTTTTAAGATTAACATTTTTAACAACTATCGGTTAAAATTTTTCAATTTTTACACCTAACAGTTAAATATTTTGTCCGTTTAACGGTCAACGATTAATTTCATTTAGACCTTCTTGTATTCCACTGCAAAGACTTAACACTTCCGGTTTTAATTCCCCCCCACCCCCACTATAGAAGGTTCAAGTTCCCCATCCCCCGGGCACGGATGACAGTCCAATGCCCGTAGGTTGCTTGGGGGGATGTTTTAAGCTTTGGATTGAGCGATGCAAACGTCGAAAGGGCTAAAGATGCGTTTAGTGTATTTCCGTTTTGCAAATTGTCTTTAAAGGATTGTCCAAAGATTTCGCGGTGTTGACCTGTAAAACTCTGAAACAGAAAGTTCCCTCAGCCGATTCAGGCGTCTATTGGATAGACCCGGATGGTGGTTCCCATGGTAACGCGTTCCAGGCTTACTGCGACCAGCAGACTGAAGGGGGAGGCTGGACACTAGTTTGGAGTTACACTTTTACAGATTATTCGAATTTCCAGAAGGCATCTAACGCTGTCACTCCGCGCCCATCCTGGACAACAAGCAACGCTAACGTTCGAGTATCCACAACAGTTCCATTCAGCGAGACCCATTATGAGGCCATGGACTTTTCTTTGTGGCTCAGCATTGGTAAGGAATTCCTGATCAAGAGCAACATCAACAACTGGATCGCATGTAAGGAAGGTTCTGGTAGCTTGGTGCAACAGAGGGACGGGACTGTAAGTTGCAAGCTGGTCAAACAACTCTCTGGACAGTGTTCTGGTGTAGTGCCGAACAGGGTTAAGTCAAGTAGTGCTGAAAAAACTCTTTTAAGCCGTAATCATTATTACTATTTTGAAGGTAACAGGAGTGAGGGTTGGCCAACACATGACCCATGTGGAAATAATCAAGCAAATCAATTGAAAGGTGTGGCAAACCCACATGGAAATATTTTCATTCGTTAAACTTGACCTAAATGTTTATAGTGGTTTTATTATTATGATTATTATGATAATTATGATAATTATGATAATTATGATAATTATGATAATTATGATAAGATACAAAATTTAATCTCAGTCTACGACGTAAAAATCTGTGAATAAAATAAAATAAAATAAAAATATGAACAGTTCAATAATAATTATAATAAAACTATTTACAGATCAATGTAACTGTATGACGTCATTTTCTTTTTTCCTTTTTACAAGCGTCTTTTAAAGCTTCTTAGGTCAGTCTCATGTTTTAATGCTTCCGGTAACGCATTCCATATCTTCGGGGGCCAGGTATCGCCAGAATCGTAAGATCTTTGGTACCATATAAAAAAAAAATTTTCGGTCACAGATCACAGTAGAAGTCAAACTTTAGAACATCAGTGAAATCACGTGTGCCACTTTATTGTTCATACGATATTTTGACGTCATCTGACGTTATGTTACTGAAAAGACGCACAGAAACGTGGAATGTATTTATTAATCCTTTAAACCCTAAGAGCGACTAGCATCAAATCTCTCCTTAAAATATCACTCCTGAATCACACGTTAAGGTCATGACAATGAAGGAAATGATCACCAATGATAAAAGCTTTTGGTTGGTAAACAAAATCTCCTTGTCAGCTCTATAGGAAATGTATAAAGAACAGTGCAGAGAATATGCATACTGATGTTAGGGCGTAAAGGGTTAAAGGTGCGTGAAGTGCAAGGTGTTTTGCCTCAGGCGTATTTTTTGACAAAATGAACTCGACACAAAGTAAACATGAATTCTAGTGTGGTGCGGTGATTGTATTTCTCGATGTCTGGTTATTCCTTTATTATGTTCTGTACACCCAAGTGGTTACTCAACGTGCTTACTCAGTAGTTGTTTTCAACGAATCTACGGATTCTAGAGTATGCACTTCGATTCCTACTTTTGTTTTCGTCGCACAATGCACAAACAAATCAATAGCAATATTTACCATATGGCTGCCAGTGCCCATGTGCAATATGAAGCGGATCCTGTGTTCTGATTGGCTACCCGAGCGGGCAAGATGGGCCGGAATTGATTAATTTTTAATTCAATTCAGCCAGACCCTACATCACGAGTACAACTTCAACTAGTGCAGTCTCCAGACAGTCCATCCGCAACAACTTAATGTTACGAGTGTTACCATCTGCGTTCGGTTTCCAAGCTCGACAATGCTTAACCATGTAATTATTAATGTTACTTTGCTCTTCTTCATAACTTATGGCTGGACTCTTTCAACATCAAGGTAAGAGAGAAGTTTTGTTTTTCTTGAATAAAATGCACTTTATAATAATCCGTCTTGACGGAACGTTCCGAACTTTCGCTCTTACATTAAGAGTTTCGATCTAAAAAGCTCAGTATTTTTTATATATATAAATGATAGTTTCAACTTTGCTTCCTGGTCATAACAAACTACATATATTTTCTTTAATGCCGTTCATTTCGAGTTGTATTTTTCCTCTCTAGCTTTTGAATGTCGGAACTTGTCAAGATATGTTTGGTATGTATCCCGTGATTTACATGGGATGATTGAGCGACTGAAAATAAAAACAAGGCAATTTTCCATCAGTTCTTGTGTAATATCCGGAATATCAATGGTTTTGCTTTACTACGCCCTGTAATTGGTCAAGAAAACTTACGCCACCCTTTAAACCAATCAGATGCCAAAGCTACTCGCCCACGGTCACATTGTTATATCAACACCTAAGAGAGGGTGGGTAACTGACCTCTCAATTAAAATACCTACACGTCCGTTCAGATTATATTTGATAAACGCGAATCATTTGATCTCGTTAAACTGTTCATTTTCCTTCATCTCTTAGTGGGCAGGATGCACCAAGGTTCAAAGTGCTTGAAATGGACTCAAATGGAACACTTTATCTTCACAAAACTTCAATTCTTTGCATAGGCGAGGTTATCAAACGTCTGACCGAAGGAAAATATCAACTGGCTGAACCGAGCAATTTAGGTAAGCAAACAAACGTTGCTTTGATTTGAGTATATTTCGATGAGTCACGTTTGGTCGAGTTCATGTATCATGTTGTGTTGTCAGTTAAAGCAATCAGAAACATTTTCGTCCCTCAAATCGCGTGTACTCGTGAGGCCCTATTAGAGGTTATGGGGATACAGAATATTTGAGTAAAAGAATAAACGGAATACTTGAAGAAAAAAATTACCGGGATAATGGATATTTAAAATAGGGATTCCGGGATTTTAAACCCGGAATCAGGGATACAAACTAAAGGAATTAACGTGATACGGGATTTATAGCCCAAAAATTAACAGGATACGGGATACCCAGACTCCACCCCCCTGATGAGGCCACATTCGTTTTTAGCCGGGAGGATGCGGTCAATGAATTTTTGTTGTGCAAATTGTCTCAATAGGATTGTCCAAGGAATTCGCAATGTTGAACTGTAAGGACCTGAAACAGAAAGTTCCTTCAGCCGATTCAGGTGTCTATTGGATCGACCCGGATGGTGGTTCCCATGGTAACGCCTTCCAAGCTTACTGCGACCAACAAACGGGTGGAGGAGGTTGGACTCTAGTTTACAGTTACACCTTCACAGATTACTCAAGTTTCACGAGTTCAGGAAACGCTGTCACCCCGCGTCCATCTTGGTCAGCTAGTTCTGCTAACGTTCGAGTGTCCACAACCGTTCCTTTGAGCGAGACCCATTATGAGGCCATGAACTTTGCTTTGTGGCGCAGCATTGGCAAGGAATTCCTAATCAAGAGCAATATCAACAACTGGATCGCATGCAAGGAAGGTTCTGGTAGCATAGTGCAGCAGAAGCAGGGGTCAATCGCTTGTAAACTGGTTAGACAGGTTTCTGATCAATGTCCCGGTATAGTGCCGAAATCAGTACAGTTGGATAATAATGGAATGTATCTTTCCAGCAGTAGTTTTTATTATTACTTCGATGGTAACACAGGCGACGATTGGCCAACGCATGACCCATGCGGAAAGGATCAAGAAAATAATTTGAAAGGTGTGCTGAACCCACACGGAAACATTTTTATTCGGTGAACTGAACTCCAAAAACATTTTTTAATCAAGTAATGCAATCTCCTCGCTTTAAGAAGAATACTTTTAGAGAGAGATATTATTTTTTCGTCTTGTCACGAGCGTGGAACAAAGAAAAAATTCTAAATTCCCATAGGCAATGGGGGACTCAGAATTGTTTTCCTTTGTCCCAGCCAAGAAACATTTTTCTTTATATCTTTACCGGGCTTATACTATCTTTCCTATTCTGTAACAACACCTAAGTCACTCTGAAACGCTGAGTTCAAAGACACAAAAACTGAGTATTGAATTAAGTAATACTGAAATAAGAATCTTGGTCAGTGCTTTGATATAATTTTTGGCTCCTAAAGGAGCGATTTTAGTTTGGTTTGTTCTTGAATGAACAGTTTCAAGTCGCGTGTTAAACTTAAACTCACAAAGGTGGCGGAGGCGGAGGCGCAGTCGCAAAAGGGCGAAACCTACAAACAATTTTGTCGTTGGTTTGTAGCGGATTCCCGAATCTAGAAACTTGTGTTTTATATATGACATGCTGTAAAATGTCCAATTAAACATGGTTGTTTTGAGGAAGTCGATGTGTAATTTTATTTTCCTTTTTTACTTTCTCTCTTTTTAGTTTCTGAAGGCCTCCAGGCTTCAGGGTTTGCGCTTTTCTTACCCATATAATGAGATATTTCGCATTCATTTTAATTGAGCATACAATTGATAATCAATTTTAACCAGAATTCGATCAGTAGGCAGCCCATGTTTCGTGAAGGATGATGCAGTAACATCGCCCCGTGCAACCTGCGGATATTTGACTGTCGTCTATACCCAGGGGGTGGCAAATTTGAGCCTTGCCTGGCTGGGGTGAGGAATTTAAACCAGAAGTGTCGTTCTTCTAGAGGAATACAATTGTTTTATCTTTCAATATGGAGGCGTTGAAAGGACAGTTAAAATTAGCGAGGGAATGGCTAAGAAGTAAACATATGCAAGGTTTAGATTTTAAAACATGGACAATGAATAGAAAGTCGTGGTCGCTGATACTTCATTTAAAAAGGAATTACCATCAAATCCAGTGTTGGAGTGGGGCATTTGAGCACAAATTTGTCTTGTGGGGCTGGAATTAGAACGAACAATTTTCATAATTTCAAATACGTGGGAAGAGGAGGGGTCGTTGAATCTCCGAATTGATCGACGCATTATGACCGATAAGCTCAAAGCGAGCATGCCGGGATTTCCCGAGTCTTGCTCGAGTTTGCAAACTTTCCGCACAGACAAATACTCGCGAAACTGTGTCATCTTTCTATCAGACTTTTCAGAGCTTTATCAAGAGAATGGAGAATGAAATCTGTCACGGGAGTTTGATTTGGAAGGACAAAATAGTGATGTTTCAGAAAATGGCATGGTTTGGGAAGTTGTTTGAGGTACATGCAGGTGAGTTTTCAAGATTCTTGAATTATTAACACTATTGGGCTGTTTTGCCCTTTTACGGAGAGAGAATGAAGCAGAATCACATCAAAAAGGAGAGCTATTTTAGCCAGAATAACATCTCTGAACCTCTTTCAAATTTCAAACGCTTCAGTTGGGTTTTGATTAAAAGTAAGGTTCATAATTATAAGGTATGATTGTTTGATTAGTTTAGGACGAGGTCACGGCTGCACGGCAGCCTTTTCTTCTTTTCAAATTTCTCATCATTTGGAAACTGTACTGTCTTCGGGTATTAATTTTTTAAGTAGCTTAACCGATAGAATAATTTATTTCATTCAAGAATATTTGTTTACAAATCTGCAGTGAACGAAATCCTACCAATACCTTTTTTTCGCCACAGAAACTGAAAAAAAGTTAGCGACACGCCACCGCCGTGCTGCTCCAAAAGAAATTTCATTCTCGCTAGCGAGGATCGCAAGGTAATTGAACCTATCTTTGATTTTCATAAGGAATCATGGAATTTTTATAAAAGATTCATTCTAATGGGTTTGTAAAACGAAGAGAAATAAGTGTCTTCGTTCAAGTCCGAAACTCAAACGCATGGTTCTTCTTAATTAACCGCCGCATGTAGATGCGCTCGTTGGAAATATGAAAATTTCATTTAAAACAAAGAAATACTTTGAATGGCACCAATGCATTCCAGATAAAACCCGTGAAAATTGAGAAAATTCCTCTTCTTTTTTTAGGGAAGAAAAAAATTTTCCCAAATTTCACGAAGTTTTGATTCATTGCTGAGGTAAAGTTTGACAGAAACGTCAAAATATAACCGACCACCAGTGACATGAAGTCTGGATATCAATTTCAAAGGTAAACAGCAGAAATTATCTCGAACTTTACACAAAATGCCTTTAATGACCATTGTAATATTCCGAGGCCTTTCATTACTAGCAAGTTTTTCAAGATTGCGTGACAAGAAGCTCGTGCAAGCCCTGTGTTTTTCCAAATATGGCAAATTAAGTCTATTGCAACGTCAGGTCGTCATGACTACGTACGCAAATCTTAGAATCTCACTGCGTTTTGAACGAATCGGGCGTGGAGATTTTCATCGCTGATTTACGCGAAATTATTTTAAGTCAAGGAGAGAAACAAAGAGTGTTCAAAGAAAATGGCCTCAATTAAAGACGGTTAGTAGAAGTTGCTGCTTTTTTTTTCGTTTTTTTCTCTTTTAAGTTCGTTTTTGTGTCGAAAGAAAGTTCTTTCATACTCGAGTCGTAAGTGGAGTTTCTCTCCTCATCGAATGCGCGTTTCGTATTTTTCCTAGGAGAGATCCAGCAGGCTAATCAAGAACAGGTAAATTTTACATTTGTACAGTTTGTATCAAGTTTTCTAACGATGAAACTGTTGTTAATCAATTTTCATTTGCTGTTTTCCCCTCAGGTTTTAGCCGAAAACCAGGTCAGTAAGAGAGTTTTGAATTGAACGCAAAAGTCGGCTAACGCACAGGTTGTAAAAAGTAAGGAGTAAAATTATATTTTTGGCGTTTTCAGTCCGCAGAATGCAAGGTGAAAGCCCCTGAGCAGAGCACTGTGGAAGAAGCGAAGAAAAAAAGGTAAAAGAAACATATCATTCAGAGACAGTATTGAAAACCAAAATCACATCCGGTAATGAACGTAAACATCCGGTCAGCGGTTGTCTGGTCGACATTAGTTTTCTACTTTACTCTTCTGCTGAAGACTTTGAAAGGAAAACTGTAAATAAATGTTCTTTTCTCTTTGCCGAAGCTTTTTTCTTTTCAGTTTCTTACCCTTTCATGCAAAATCTTTTAGGGTTTCTTTTACAAAACTTAACTGAGCGTTTAATTTTCTTTTTATTTCCATTTTTTTCGCAATCGTTTAGTCAGCCATCCTGGAAGGACAATTCAAAGATTAAGGTTGGTGTTGCTGTGTTGCTGTATGACATAGTTTAAGGACACTTGGTTGGTCCATATATGGACAATAAAGAGTCTCTAGCCTAACCCTCTTTAATTAAGAGATCATAGTCATGTACCTGTTGTAGTTTCCACTGCATTTGTGTCGTTTGAATGTTCTCTTTTTAAGGAATTCTTTACCCACTTGTTTCTAATTTATACCTTGAATGAGGCTTAAAACCGATTCAGCCGCATGTCGCATGATACTTGCTAATATTTGTTTAATTAATGTTTCAATATCATTTTTAATTAAAGGATCTGAGAAAAACTGCAGAAGACCAAAAGAAGGAAATAGAAACGCTTCAAGAGAACATTGCGTGAGTATAAGTTTAACCAAAGCTAAGGTAACGTGTGAAGAATAACAAATGAGTTTGCGTTAAAATTCTTTGGGGTGGTCTCAGGCTGAGGTGCAGTTTATAGCGCAAGAGATAAGGTTCCATGCAAACTCTTCGGGATATCATCAGAAATTTCGGAACATCCTCGGAAATGTACGGGTGTCTTCGGATATGATCGGGTCCCAGGCTTAGCTGTGGTGCATAGCCCATGAGATTAGGTTGCATTAGAACTCCTCGCGATATTATCAGTTTTTGGAACATCG